TCTACAGTTTGTCTTCGGAGGACAAACTCAACTTTGTGATGTTAGGAAAGACTCCACCAATTCTGTCTGCAATTGCAGAACAATCCATCACTTTGTAAAACATCAGCAACATGATGACTCTGAGTGGCAGTTCCGTGCATGAAGCAACAGGATCAGACCTCTACCCAGTTTACCGTTGCTCCAATTTATATCTCTCAAGGATTTATTACTATTCTGTCCCTCGCTATCGCAGGAAACAACCCAGAGAAGAGAGAAATGAACAAGATGATCAGATCTTTGCTGTCTCTAATGTCTATGACCGCATGATTACTGAAAGAGAGAGAGAGACACACACACACACGCACAAACAAAAAGCTTGATTCTGATCTCACCTATACCAGTGTAAATCACAGCTAACTCTGTTGAGGTCAATGGAGTTGCAATGAACTCAGTGTGAGGACAGAATGAGGCAAAAAGTATTGTTAATGTAATGTTAGGTTTCTCTATTTACTTGATTATCATAACAACATTCTTAAAGGTAGGCAGACTCTGGGAGTGGTGTTTATTGTATTTATGGGGGGAAAGTAATGAAACCCTTACTTTGGCCTGGTCTACACTACGACTTTAATTCGGATTTAGCTGCGTTAATCCGAATTAACCCTTCACCCGTCCACACTACAGAGCCAGTTAATTCGAATTAAAGGGCACTTAAAATCGATTTCTGTACTCCACCTCGACGAGCGGAGTAGCGCCTAAATCGATTTTGTTAATTCGAATTAGGGTTAGTGTGGCCGCACACCACCGAATTAATGTGGTTAAAAACCGAATTAAGGTGCTTAGTGTGGCCGCGCACAATCGAATTTATACAACCTGTTTCCCAAATTCAAATTATCTAAATTCGGATTAATCCTGTAGTGTAGACATACCCTTAAACTTCTCCGCTGATTGGCATTTTGTTATTTAAGGTCATGTGATAGACACTATTTAATAGGGTCATCACAGAGGAATCAGAATTGTCTCAATTAGTAGTTTCTCATGCATTTTGTATGCAGTGTTGTTGTAGTCATGTTAGTCCCAGGATATTAGATAGACCTGAAGAAGAGCTCTGTGTCAGCTCGAAAGCTTGTCTCTCTCACTAACAGAAGCTGGTCCAATAAAAGATAATACCTCACCCACTTTTTGTCCATTTAAACATGCTTGACTGAATCATTATCAGATGTTTTAACATGTGTCCTCAACTCAGTTCCCTCAGCTGAAGCCTTTAAACCACCATATTAACACCTCTAATTGTAAATAATAAGACAATTTCCTGGCTGCCACTGTATGAGATAGAAGAGAGCATGAGCTGTGGCCTTTAATCACTTTATTAATACCTCAAATTGTAACTGACAGAATAATTAGGCTGAATATTGTCCCAGTGAAGCAGCTTGAACACGGTGGCCATGTCATCACAGTGACAGAATTTAGAGGAAAAAAATGGTTCAATGAAGTTTGTACCATTAAAGCAGCTCTCCTTATTGTCTGGAATGACCCTCTATATTAGCACATTTAAAACTAGACTTGACAGAGAATAATTCTGCATTGGCATGGTCAGAGTCTAGATGATCCAGTACCATACACCTTTTACAATTCTAACTTCGGCTGAGTCTGTCTCAGTCCCATTTACATGGCTTTCACTGTGCCTCACTGAGATGCTCCCTCCATCTCTACGCCTCGAGAGAATGCAGGTCTAGTTTCTCTAACTGTTCCCCATGAAAATCTTTGCAAGGCGGCCTTCTGTTGCAAATTTTGTTACATCAATTTAATTTTGTTACATCAATTTAATATTCAAAGGCACTAATCTTCCTCTCACTTATACCCATTTTACACTGAGAGAAATCCATTGACTTCAGTGGGATTACTGCCCATTTACTCCAATAAAATTGGAAGGGGACTCAGACCCAAGGTTTCCAGAACTGCTTATTCAATGCTGCAAAGGTGACCTCACTTTAAATGTCCTATGTAAAACTAAAGCTGGCCTACACTTCCCCCTCAGCTCCATATCTGCAAGATCTGGTTGGTGAAAAGCTACATTGCATGATTCGGTCTCCATGTAATTCTTGGAACTACAACTCTGTTAGGAAACTACTTGACTCCATTTTTAAAGTATTACTGCCATGGATATTTTCCAGTTTGTCCCTTTGCTCTGAAAAATATAATCAAACTTGATTTTCTGCTTTTTTCCCCATGTACTTTCTTGGCAAAGTTTAGGATACAATTTGGCAACAATAAAGGAAAGATCTTTAAAAATGTTCCTCAGAAGCCAGTTTGAACAGAGACTTTATCATGATGCTTTCCCACTCGGATGTTTGAAATTCATGCATGGGAAAAAATATCAAGCCTTCTGTATTTGACAGAAAGGGTGTGAGGTGTGTGCTGTAAAAATGTTCCTCCACGGAAGCCAAAGGACCACATGCTGCATCAGACATCATAAAATCCTCAGTATTTCATCCAATGGCACTGTTCCTTCTTAAATCAAATTAAAGGATTCATGTCTAGTTAAAAATCATTTTATAAAAGTATTTTAAATTGCTTCTTCCCTGAACTCTATTACTAAGCACCACTTGGATTTCTAAAACCAAAATGGATGTTTGTATCTCTGTTTTTGCCACTATTTATTCTGTTTGCTCTGTGTATTGCCCTGTGAAACTAGACAAGTTAATACCATGCTTATGTATAGTCAGTTTCACTTTCTTGCCTCTGACTCTGGTGTTTGATGAGATGAAGCTAGTCATATGAATGAAATAGTTATGGAACTGTAAAAATCTTACTGTCCTTCACCTCCACTTACAGCCAGGGACATAAGGGGCTAAAGCCATTGCAGCGATGCAACTCCACTCAGGTTGCTACACCAGGGGATGAACTTAGCCCTGAGGAATTTTATGAAATCTTCATCATGAGCAAAGATGTGAAATCACGTAAGGACAGGTTTATAATGGCTTACACAGCCATAAAATGAAAATCTTGATGGGCAAACACGGCATAGTGGGCTTTCATTTGGAGTAGTTTTCAGCACTACCATTGTAAGCTGTTTCAATCATAAGCCAGATACCTCCAGAGTTCAATCATGAGTCAAATACACCGCTACCCCGATATAACACGAATTCAGATATAAAGCGGTAAAGCAGCGCTCCGGGGAGGGGGGGCTGCGCAATCCGGAGGATCAAGCAAGTTCAATATAACGCGGTTTCACCTATAACGACTTTCATTAACGCGGTTTCATTAACGACTTAGATATTGGTATAGAAAGTACGATTATTAAGTTTGCGGATGATACCAAACTGGGAGGGATTGCAACTGCTTTGGAGGACAGGGTCATAATTCAAAATGATCTGGACAAATTGGAGAAATGGTCTGAGTTAAACAGGATGAAGTTTAACAAAGACAAATGCAAAGTGCTCCACTTAGGAAGAAAAAATCAGTTTCACACATACAGAATGGGAAGAGACTGTCTAGGAAGGAGTACGGCAGAAAGGGATCTAGGGGTTATAGTGGACCACAAGCTAAATATGAGTCAACAGTGTGATGCTGTTGCAAAAAAAGCAAACGTGATTCTGGGATCTATTAACAGGTGTGTTGTGAGCAAGACACGAGAAGTCATTCTTCCGCTCTACTCTGCTCTGGTTAGGCCTCAGCTGGAGTATTGTGTCCAGTTCTGGGCACCGCATTTCAAGAAAGATGTGGAGAAATTGGAAAGGGTCCAGAGAAGAGCAACAAGAATGATTAAAGGTCTTGAGAACATGACCTATGAAGCAAGGCTGAAAGAATTGGGTTTGTTTAGTTTGGAAAAGAGAAGACTGAGAGGGGACATGATAGCAGTTTTCAGGTATCTAAAAGGGTGTCATAAGGAGGAGGGAGAAAACTTGTTCACCTTAGCCTCTGAGGATAGAACAAGAAGCAATGGGCTTAAACTGCAGCAAGGGAGGTCTAGGTTGGACATTAGGAAAAAGTTCCTAACTGTCAGGGTGGTTAAACACTGGAATAAATTGCCTAGGGAGGTTGTGGAATCTCCATCTCTGGAGATATTTAAGAGTAGGTTAGATAAATGTCTATCAGGGATGGTCTAGACAGTATTTGGTCCTGCCATGCGGGCAGGGGACTGGACTCGATGACCTCTCGAGGTCCCTTCCAGTCCTAGAATCTATGAATCTATAACGCAGTAAGATTTTTTTGGCTCCCGTGGAAGCGTTATATCGGGGTAGAGGTGTACTTGGAATTCTACCTGGCCTAATGACCTGAGATATTGCTGATGCAGTTGACACAGCCATTATCTTAGCATATATTGCACAGTTCTTATTCCTCCTCAGCCTGAAATTCTTCATTAGGCAGAATAATTTACTCAGGCATCCAGGATAAAAATGGCTTGATCTCACCTGAATCCAGTTATTTTACCATGTGCTTGGCATGGTAGAAACAAAAGCTCCCCCATTTGAATAAAGAGCCAGAACTGGGACCATCCACCTGTACAGGATCAGAAGCTACCATTTGTTTGATCTGCCCTGCACCTAATCCCTGTGTCAGTGATGACTGCTATTGCTCCACCTTATTGTTGCCTGTAAGGGCAGGCAGAATACCTCTGCCCAAAAGGTTGCCATTTGCTAAAGCAATAGCATCTGGGGCACTACTGAAATGGTTGGTGGTAGAAGAGAGGAACCCTGCCCATAGGATGGAAAATGGCTGCTTGGATACACATCTCTCATAGTAAGTATGCTCCTTTATAAGTCTCCCTGTGTACTGTTTTTTCCAACACAAACTTTCCAAATACTCTCTTTATATGATGCATATAAAATCCTTGCAGTCTTCAATGGCAATCCTAATAGAAAGCAGGTGCTATGCCTTTAATGGAGCTATGGGGAGCTCACTATATCCTCATTACTATAATCAACCTACACATAAATAAATATATAAACAGTTACCAATTGGCTAAGTTCACGACAGCATTTGATCACACACAAACACACACACACAATGGCTGTACTCACAGCTTTCACAGTGATTCCCGGTATAGCCTGCCAGACAAGCACATCTGTAGGCACCAACTTTATCAAGAATACATGTTCCATCATGATAACATGGAGATGAAGAACAAGCTGCAAAAGAAGAGGCAAGAATATTCAGTCTTTCATAAGGTTCTTATCTAACCAGCTAGCTACGGTTTTCTATAGAACTCATCACAGTAGTTTCTAAAGGCCTCCCAGGTAAATTAGATATGTAGGGTGAAGTACTCAGTAGATTCAAGGAGCCCTCCAATCTTCTTCCTTCCCTGCTAGAAGGAAGATCTCGGGATGTGAAACCTTTTATTGGTGGTTGTTTTTCCTTTTTCTTCTTCCGTCGTGTCCCCCATCTTTCTATCACTGCTTTCGAGTTACAGTGGGTTCACCTGAGGGGTCACATTATCTCTATCTCTTACATACTTCATCCTGGGCTTTGTGAGCAGTATTGCCCTAAAGGAACCTAGCTGTCTTCTTGGGTCCTGGATGCAAATGCAATGATTGATGTTCCTGTGTCCTCTTGACCCCTATTATGAGCTTTTAAATCAGGATTATGATGACCTTGAACTGGCAAAGGAAGCAGGTTGGGAACCAGCCGATTGGGATGCCTCGTGGCACAATTCCCCAGGTGCAATTAGTGAAGTGGCACAAAGAGATCAGAAATTTTAAGCATAAATGGGTATCTACATGCATAGCTAATTATTTGCACATGCACCAGGCTTACTAACAAAGGCAAAAGCCACTGTGCTGCACACACATTTGGGCACCATGCTTGCTCTCCCTTTTTAAAAATGCACCCTTAAAGCTACAAATAAATACATTTTAAAACAAATTGCTTAAAGTCAGTTCCTCTTCCACTTATCTGCAGAGATCTGAGTTTAGGCCCTCAGGGTTCTGTATTTCCTCTATTATAGCAGAGGAAAATCCTAATGGAATGTAACACAAGCACTACTTCAAGTGGTAGTGTAGTTCTCAACTGTTTCAGAAGAAAATCAACCTGAACTCAGGTCTTATCAGGTAGAAACTAGTGTCCAAATCATAAAATTTAGATCCAAATTCAAATAGGAACATCTCCAAAGTCTGCAAAGTTCTGAATCTGATGTTCTGGTTCAGATCCATCATACCAAGTTAGGCCAGAGCTGTAAAGTTCACATCTAGATCCAAATTGAAGAGTTCACCCCAATTTGCCATAAAAATGCTCTTTTAGGGGACTTTCTAAAGGTTCCTCATAACTTTATTTGTTGAACTTCTAGTCCATCATTGCTACAAAAGTATAAAAAGAGTACATTCTAATTCACTTAGATCACAGCTGTCTATCAACAATACACCAATTACCACTTTAACATAAGGGAGGAATGAACTCTACCACTAAACATCGCTGATGGAGCAAAGCAGGGTTGGTAGTTCTCTAGCTGCCCCCTTAGACCACAATCTCAACCAGAACAATCAGTTTCAGAGATGGCACTAATATATTCAAACTCTCAATGTGATGAAACCCAGAATGGCACATGTCAAATCAGCTGATTCTTTTGCAAAGTTTTTTATTGAAACAGGCTTTTCAAGTCTCTTTGGCCCAGCTGGTGAAAGAGAAACAGAACTCCACTCATAACATCAAAACCAGATTTCCGACAAGATTTCATGTGGAGATGTAAAGCTATTTGTATTTAGGTTGGGCAGTGAAAGCCACTGCTAAAACCTTGCACAATCTCTTTAAAGACTTGGATATGAAGATGGGGCGGGGGGAGTATTCAAAGTGTGACTGAGGAGGATAACAAATTTCTGAAAAGCTTACAAATGATCATTTTGTTCTTTCCTGCTGTTCTAAAATGTATTTGAAAAAAAAGAGACAGAAGAGGCTGAAGAGCCAGGGAAGCACTGATATTTTGCAACCTACAAGCCATATCTTCCTGTCAGTTGAAGTCAATGCAGTGGGACCAATGGTACGTTTATTTATCACTTCTGTCTTGATAGCACAAGCCATTATTTGTCTGCCAGTTTATTCTGTGGAGCCACTTGTGTCAAATGAATGAGCATGGATGCGGGTTATGATGATGGAGGTGTGACACACAGAAGAGCTGATAAAAATGAGTCTTTATGGCCTGGCTTCAGTCATGTGACATGGAACAAGGTTACAAAAGTTCCCTCCCCATATCACATGGCAGGGATCAGTATCCACTGACCCCAGTGGCTACTGATGACTGTCGTGATTCTCATTAAGCCAGACCCAGCATTATTTCTAATCTGTCATAGTTCACTGTGCCCTTTAAAAATCTAAAACACGGAATGCACCAGAACACCCCCACAGTGACTTAGACATCCAATTTTTGCTCCACTTTTGTGTTCTGGTTTCACCTGAGGAATTGTAACTCCTTCCTGGCTGCATATGAAAACCATTAAGACAGCATCTACTAGGCCTGTCATACAAACAGACCTATGGACCAAATTTGAATCTCATTGGACTCAATGGGAGTTTTTCTCTGGTGGACTAGGATTTGGCCCTATCTCTCCAATGTGATGGGTATCATGTAACTATCTATAACTAGTTAGGAGAGATGGTTGGAAAACATTTTTTTCACAATAGTTTTTGCAAGGAAAAAAAAAAGTCTTCCACTTTCCAGCTACATTTTGTTTCAATAGAACTTATCCAACAAACTCACATAACTAGGATATTCCCAGAACCTTTCTATTTCCATGGACACACATTCTATCAAGCCCACCCAGCTTGTCTCTATTATAAATATGAAGAGAAGTTAGCTCCTCTCCCTACATATGGGATTTCGTATTGACATTTATAATGTTTCACGAGTAATAGTTGCCAGCAAATCAGCTGGGAATCCCTCACCTTCCACAAGGGGATTATTAAAGAAGGACAACCACACACAGGAGCAGAGGGAATTATCCCGCTCACTTTATTTCAATCTTCCTCCCTCCTCCTGTCTTTCACATCTAAGGTCAGCTTAGTCACTTCTGGCCACTCACCAAAGACTGGATTACCCTTTATCCCTGACACAGTGTTTGTTGCTGCACTCGGGTGGTTAACACCTGCTTCCAGTACAGGCCATTCAGCTGATTAAGCTGCTTCTTTTATTAACTAGCTGTCCACTGGTCTTTCCTCTAGGGACATACTTTTTGCAGATTATTTTGCATTTACTTAAGTTCCTCTGACCATTTGGTCTCGATACTTCCCCATGTTCGCTCAGTGTCATCGTTTCACGAAGAACATGACTTCTGAGCCGACTTCTGCAAAATCTATCCCACATAGGGTCCCCAGAATAAAGATGACCCAAGTACAAAGTGCCCCACAAAGGTGGACACACGTAAATAAAAAAACTCTGTTCTCACTGCATGAGCCACATTTCCTATCTTCTTCAGTCCAGTGCTAAGCTACAACGGATACCATAACATCCCTTTGGGCCACTGCTCAGCCTTGGAGTGTGTTTACCTGATCCTGTTCTCAACAATCATGCAGGTGATTGACCTAGTGAGCCCTGTTCAGCCTATTACATGGATGTCAGCTACCCCCTGGGGCTTTGCATTGAGAAGGATTTCAGAAGACTGAATGCTGAAGCTTGCTGCATGCTGCCAGAGCTTTCAGTCCCTCAGCTCCCTCCCCCCTCTCCCCCCCACCCATGTACATTGTATTCTTCCCATGAACAGTATTGCTGGCCAGGTTAACACTTCACATAAAGAGACATAGTGAGAGCTTCAAAAGCTTTTCACTTCAGCTACTCATCAGGCCAGGACAGATTCATAATAAAGTGCACAATGAGGCCTCCTGACAAACTCTCGCCCCTTTGCATCATGCTCTGCATGGATTACCATGCTTGCAGCCCCCCAGTCTCAAATAAATACCATTAATAATGGGGTGGAAATAAAGTGCAGAACAGTGCTAGAATACTAAGAGGTACATGCTGAGCAGAGAAAATGGAATCAATTCATCCTACTCCATATCAAAAATGTTAGGCCTAGGAGTGTAGGCAGCCTTATGCAACATACCCCACACCAGGTTTCATTTGGTGGAGGCAACTTTTGCTTTCCATCAGCCCTTTCATTAGCACAGTGCTAGCTCTCATTGTCTAACTGTTCCTGCTGTGACTGTGATACTATTATAGGAACCAGCAAGTAGACAAGTGGGTTCAGTAAATGCAGAAGTGGGGCAGCCATTTGTCCTGTGTGTGTGCATGTTTCAGATTGTTAACTGCACCCTGGGGTATTAGTAACAGCTGAACCCCAATAGGTTTGGAGCTCGGGGTGCTTTAGCTGCAAAGATTACATGAACTAATTGAACCTCTTGAACTAGATTTACAGCTCATGTGATCCCATTAAATCTGGGACACTGATGTATGTCTGGGGTCTCATATGTCTTACTTCAGGGAGGGATTGGGAAATCCTAATGTTAGCTGTTATAGATCCTGTAGGATTTTCCTGTGGCAAACTAGCACACACTGGTTGGCCTCCTCTGCTAAGAACTCTATGGACAGGTTTTATAGACTTGCCCCATACAAGGAAGACACAAGGCATGTATCCCACTTCAGATCAGAAGGCAAAACAGGAGCTATCAGCATTCCCAGTGTTCCTTTGCAGGCAGGCAGAAGGGACAGGGAGTAATGCAGAGGGGAAGGTGCTACCCCGGTGTAAATGAGATCAGACTCAAGCTTAATGCATTTAATAAATAGATTGGAATTTTGGAACTCAACTTCTTTCATTAAAAACATTTAGCACATCACATTATTCACTGAAGGAGAGAGAGAAATGTTTTTGTTTGCTTTTTATATGGGAAGAGCTTTCTGCATCTTCCCTGTACAAACAATTTTAAAAAAAAAGCCCTACTGATCTGAAATGTGAAGCAGCAGAAATAATTAAAGCATTTTCACATGGGCAATACACCAGAAATGCAACAGGTTTCTACCATTTTAAACTGCTTACTCTGCTTCCACGTACTACTTCAAGCAACTCCCTGACTGCAAGGAGTTGTGCACAAAATTTCCATCTCATCACTCATTCCCAGTTCTTTGGTGCAAAAAGAAACATCACAAACCCATGAAACTTCAGCCCTAAACTGTTACAATCAGTTGAGTCTTTGCACAAATAATGGGGCTGGGGTCTACTTTAGAAGAGCTTAATTTTAGCAAGCCATATGTTGACTTTGTACCTTCACTATACCTACCTGTATAAACTACTGTTGGCAACACAGCATGAAAGTTTTTAATGAAGCAGAACAGCAAGAAAGATTAGTGAGACTGAATTAATGAGGATAAAGTGCTGTGTGCTTTTTTTGATTCCTTTACCTGTAATTTCTTCAAAGATAGCATGAAACCCATCAAAGTTCTTGGATCCATCAGACTGGAAGAGAACATGGAGTGAGGTCCCAGTGCTTCGGATTGGAGGCGGCCTGTCATTGCCACAGAAACGTTTAATTATCCTGCTATCTATATTGTCCCCATCCCGGATCTCCACATAATCATACTGGCACATGTAGTCAAACTCCAGGCTCAGCATGGCAAACCTGAGGCAGAAGGACATCAAAATCAGACTGTCACTCTCACCTGGCTGGACTGTATTTCTAATTCAGTTCAGAGGCTACTGCCCCCCTACAGCATCCATCTAAAGGAGAGGATAACAGCTGGATACCCTGGAGGGGCAGAGAGCTAAACTCTATTTTGGGCTTTATTAGTGTTACTTAAATTGTTGTGTTCTGCATTTAGAAACTATGATGATAGGTCCCTTAGAAATAAGATAGAAAGAGATAGAATGGGAACAAAACACAATTTATTTCAGATCAGAAGATAAAACAGGAACTGATTGTCAATAGCCAGTACTTACACCCTTTGTGTAAGAGGGAAGGGACAGGGTTAATGCAGAAGGGAGAGGGTAATATCTGGAGGCTTTTACAGTAAACGCTATCTATCCTCTTGTATCAGCCATGGAGCAAGGCTCTCACTAGTTAACAGTATAACATGCTGCTGCTAGCAGAGCACAAAGCCAAAATATTCAAACTGAATATGAATGAAAAACAGACAAAGAGAGCTAATAAAAAAAAGCCTTTAGAGAATAAGCAATTGCCTGAGGTGCTGTGCTCTGCATCGCTGTCCAGGGTAAGGATTCCAAGCTCTGTGCCTGAGAGAACACCACACCACTAACCGCTCAGTAGAATATTTTAAAAGTGTAACTTTTAATCTTCCCAATCTCCCTGAAAACTCTCAACTCTGTAGACCATGTTTATTTAAGGGATATAATGGATCAGACCGAGTCTGTCATGGCACCTCTTCAAAGGTGGGCTGAATGGTCTGGCAATCTAACATTTTCTAACTGAAGAGAAGGGGAAAATGCACAATCATTTTGGATGCTCAGCATACCCCTACAGTCTACAGTTGATTTCCCCTGACTGTCCTCTTCTGGGGACTCGGTGGCTTCAGAGAGTAAGGAAGCCTATGTTATGTGAAATGGCTGATGCCCTTCTATCCCCTCCCATCAGACTAACATTAATACACACTCAATTGTCTTCACTCAATCCTTATTTTTGTGTTTGGAGAAACAGCTGAACCTCAGCTGGTGTAAATCGGCATAGCTCCATTGAATGAGCAGTTGAATGGAGCTGTACCAAGTTACACCAGAGGAAGATATGGCCCAGAGTTTTCATAAGGGTCTGTTGGAAGGTGGATGAGAAAAAAATGGCAAATGCTTTCAATAAACATCAGACATTAATTCATCTCAGTTTCACTTAAACTTCATGAGCAATTGGTGAGTCCAAATTCCAGTTCTGTCTGACACTCTGTTACTTACCCATGAGATATCAAGTTACCAGCATGACATCCTCAGAACAAACTCCCTTTGGCTGATCAAGCCCTGGGATCTGCTCTTACAGAAGCAATAGATTCATACAAATGCACAAGGCCCAGGAGCGCCGCCAGCTTTTCTGCTGCCCTACGCGGCAGAAGGTCCCGCCCCGAAATGCCGCCCCCCACAGAGGCGGCGGAAGGTCCCGCCGCCGAAATACCGCCGCAGTCACCGCCTCCCAAATTGTAGCGTCCTAGGCGACCACCTAGGTCACCTAATGAGTTGCGCCAGCCCCGGCAAGGCCTCATAGCTAAGGTGCAGGGATGGGAGCTGACAGACCTGGCACAGGATTTTCAGAAGTTCTCAACATTGTCCTAACTCTGCTCCCAGTGGAGTCAACTGAACACTTTTGAAATCTTGGGGTCTATTGTTGACTAAAGCACAGTTATGGGCAAGTTATTTAACCTTAATTTCCTCACCTGTAAAATTGGGGCTATTTTCCTAACTGTCCTGGATATTATAATGCCAAATTCCCTGATGTTAATAAAATGCTTGGAGAGCCTCAGACTGAAAAGGAGCGCAAAGTACTGTTATGAGGTGATGTTATTAATGAGTGCATTGAGAATACACCTTGGGGGGGGGTGAGCTTCTCTCCAAAGGAAAAGAACAATTCTAAGATACAGCTCTGTCACAGCATAAAAGAAAATGATTGTGAGTTGTGCGTTACCTAGAGTGCTGTATCTCATCTCCTGATGTGACATGGGCTGAGGGAGCATGATAAATCACAAATTAAAGAAAAATGAGGCTAGAAAATGCACACACAAAACAAACTACTACAGCAACCATTTATCAAAGCAGCCCTGGTCAGCCAAATCCCCTAGGACAGCAAAGCACATCTCAAGTCAGAAGATGATTTATTTTCAGTCCTGTAAGATTAAGAGAGTTTATAGTTTTTATTTCTTTTTCTTTCTTACTCACTCACTCTCCACTGCAACAGGGCAATCTGCCCTTTTAAAGCCCTGGCTGGGGGGATGGGAGAAGAGAGAGATAGGGAGCAGCTGACCCTAGACCAGAGAGCAGCCCCCCAGACAGGCGCTGGGAATCAGCTGATCAGCACTCCTGACTAGCCCACACTCTCAGCTGGAATATAAAGGAGAGCTTAGCAATGCAGGGAAGGGGAGCAGGGGAAGGATATTTGCTGGTAAATAGGACCAGCTGGTAGATCCTAGTCCAAACCTTTAAGCAGATTGTTGTCAGTGTTTTTTTTTTTTTTTGTATACCTTTCTTGCTATGTTTGGGAAGATAACAAACAGAGACCTGAAGAAAGCGACAGAAACCTGGCCTGGCTAGTGACTAGGGGTCACTTGTTTCCTTTCTGCTTCACACAGATAGGATCACCAGCATTGCCCTGTGGCAATCACACAGGGTTTGCTGGGGCTATATAGAGACCAGGAATCATGCTGACTCCGCAAACTGTTTGCTAACAATTACTATTCTGAGCTGAGAGTAACTGGCAGAGGGAATCTGCTTGTTTATGTGGAAGTGGAGTAAGTCTAAAGATCCAGGCACAGGCAGCAGGACCAGGATGGAAGAATTTGGTGGAGTTTAAACTACTGAGTCTCCTAAACCCAACAGTGGGAGCTCCCTCATCAGACTCTGCTTCTGGACACTTTCACCCTAACAGTGGGACTCTGTGGCAAGGGAGGTAGAGGGTTAGTATTGAGTTTGCTGAACTGTGTGGGGAATGGCCACAATGGAAAGATGATCAAATCAGCTAGAAGGAAACTCTCACAAGGGTAATGCCACATGTCCATTCAAAGCAGATACCTTGCGCCCTGTGGCAGCAGTAGTGATAACAATTTCACAGTGCTTGAGGGGTAACACAAATTCACAGGCACAGAACCATCACTCCTCCCCCTGGAAAGGGAGGGGACAGAGTAGTCTAGAGCTGCAGGTTTAATTCCTAGCAGGCTTCCCATGCAGCATACCCTACAATGCTCTTGCGGATGACACCTTAAAAACAAATACCCTGTCTACTCTGCCTGGCAATTAAAGATCCCATTGCACTATTGGCAAGTGTAGAGGTTTGCCCTAATATCCTTCTCCTTTCTTTCTTGTACATTGCTGATCTGTGCCAGTCAGCTGCCATCCTCCCACCCCAGAGATAGCTGCATTCACTGATGCTGTAAAACATAGGACCCAATCCTGCCCCCACTGATAGGATCAAAAGCAGGGTCAAGCCCATCGTTTGTGAAGCACTTTGGCATCCTTAGGAATGAAAGAGTCTCGTACATAAATGTAAAGCAATATCATTTATAATCATGTTGCTTTTTGCACAGAGTGAGCTACAGCCCAATCCAACAATGCACTTGTAAAAGCAAAGGAAATGTGTCTCAGTCCCATTAAGAGTAATACAGAGCAGCATCAGTCATCTGAACACCAAACTCCCAGTACCATGTTATAGGTACCGCTATATCTGGCCACCCCTGAAGGTACCTACAGAAACTTGCACTTGCTCTGAGGAGGTTTCATCACTGTTAGTATTTGTAATTATTGTTGCTAATAACTACACAGTAGTGAGCATGATAAAGGGACTGGTGGTAATGTCAAAGGAACCCCCACATTTATTTTCTCCTTGGGTGATTTTCCTTCCTCTGATTTAATATTAAAACTATCTTTAAATCTGTGGTTAGAAATGTGTTTGTGCACCTAACATTGCTTCTTTGCCTGGTCTCCAAAGCTGGTGAAAGATTGATGTGAAGCCTTTAACTCATGTTCTTATTGTAGTTGCTGGTGGGGGCTGAATCTGATCCCCTGCCAAGCTTCCTGCTGTATGTGTGAGCTCTTTGCCACACACATTCAAAAACAAAATTAATTGCACCAAATGAAGACTCTCAGGCACTGGAAAAGAAACCCTGATGAAGGGCTGAGGAGACTGAGCTGTTGGGGAAGATTAAAAGGGCTAGATACGTAGATTGACTGAACAACTAACGATACAAATATAGGAAGCTTATAGGCATCAGGGATGGAAAGGAATTATTTAGGGTAGTTCAAGAGGACGTCACTTGATGTAATTATATGAAATTTAGAAAGGGAAAATTTAGGCTGAATATCAGGAAATACTTCCTGACCGTGAGATCTATTCAAGTCTACAACAAGTGGTGGGCACCCCCTCATATGAGGCATTTTCCATCTCTGTCTGAGGGAGTTTCCCTCTCTAATGTCTGTGATTCTATAGGGGGGAAAGGTATATTAATGAGAATGAGCTTCAGAACCGCACCAGTTAACTAACTGTGAATTGTTTTCACACAAATTCAGAGTAACCTGAGCCAGTTTCTCCCTGCCCCAAAACACTCCTGAGTTTTGTCTTCAGTGAATCCATTCTACACTAGCCTGGTGCTTCCCTGTTGGACCATTGGATGCTCTGACCATAACGGCACCTAGGGATATATATTGCCCTGGATTCTCTAGAAACATCCATTGGTATCAGCTGGTGTTCCAAGCAGGAACTGAAGGCAGAACATGGCCAGTAGTGCAGCATTCCCAGATCTCCTGCTGGGCCAGGTGCCAAATATGGAGTACCTTCCTAAGATGGAGGCAGCACTTTCTTTGCCATAGAGCCACCAGAGTCTGACCCAACTGTAGATCAAAATATGATTCCCATCTGTTACACATGCCACCTTGCTTCATATAGAAGACAGAATTTGCTGAAATTCACCTCCCACTTACCTTAATTCGATGATAAACCCAGGTTTAACATGAAGGGTCCATTCACAGTGTGCATTCAGTGGGTAGCTCTCCAGCAAAATCTGACCCTTGGAAGCCCGAAGAACCTGCCCACATCCTGAAGAGGAAAAGTAAAAACAGCAAGTCCATTAGAGACCTTCAGTCAGCACCTCAGGGAGAAGGGGCCAGAATAGATTTGTTTGACATACTAACATCTGAGGCAACTTCCTGAATGACTAAAATGCCCCACTATATTATTAGTATTATTATGCTACTATATTATTTCAGCATTATCTAGAAATTCAACACCCTTCCTTTAAGCTTATATAGTATCACCTCTCCACATCAGCACCAGATTAATCATAGCTAAGGTCTGGACTCACCAATATGTGGCCTCCCCAAGTCCTACCCTAAAATGTGGGGCTCCCCTAATCCTAGTTCCTTCCCACCCCTCCTCAGAAGGACTCCTTCCCTCAGTCCTTGTCCCCTTCGTCCTCTTTTTTCACATGCCGACATGTGGATGTGGTTAAGAGGGAGACGTTTAACCTTTGCAGTCTCCCACTCAGCAACTAGTCAGAGTGAGGCCTGCAGAGCTGTGGCAAAGGAGGTGGGATACGGGAAAGTTTTGAGAGGGACGGCTGCATCTGGAGCACCACTAGATCCCTTCCCAATCCTGGACCTAAATTTCAGTAATCCATACTTGATCTGCTCCTCTTCCCCACAACCTGGAGTTAAAGGAACACTTTTAACGCAGAGGACTGGGAGTAAGGAATCCTGGGTTCTATTCTCAGCTCTGCCACCAAACACCTTGAGTATGTCACTTAACTGCATTATACCGCAGTTTCCCCGCTTGTAGAATGGGAATAATAATGCTTATCTCAATGAGAGAATCCTTGTCAAGGATCCTAAAGAACTTTATAAACATTACTTACGTGAAGGTGCAGAGTTATGTCATCACATACCATGCACATCACATCTTTTGATGCCTAATTTTTTGGCTACACCTTTCCCTGGTGGAGTCTTACAGCTTATCAGGATTTTCATTAAGCATTCTGTTAATACACTGCTGGATGATTCTGACCGCATCTTCTGTTCTAGAAATTGCATTGTGGGTAATAACATGCCTGCACTGGGGGATTATGGGTAGGCTGCAGACCAAGCATAGGAGAGAGATCTGTTGGAAGAGGCCAACAGACTGTATTTAAGCTGTGGAGGAGGGGCCAAGAGACTTCCCAGAAGCTTTTCAGCCTCCTTAGTCCATTCACTGCTCCTTGACTGAGAATCAATAAATTTGATCCATTCCCAAACAGGGACCCTGAGCTGCTCAGTGCACTCCCTTCTTGACTGACGGGACTGTAACTGTAAGTGGCATTTGCCATAAGCCACACTTCCCTTTGGAGGACAAGCGAGTGTGGAAGTGACCTGATTTTCACAAGGGCAGAGCATCCAGAGCTTCCATTGAAGTCAGCCTCTGAAAATTAGGCCTTATGTGTCTGAACTATGGTGAGAGACATGGGAAAATTGAAGGTCAATTGCTCCTGTTTCCTGTTAAGAATTGTCTGTCTAATAAAACACCCTTTGTCGGTTTACCCTCAGCTACCCGCAATTAAGTGGAACCTGATGAAACAGCACTCCAGCTCAGAGGAGTTCATCACAAGTGTTTCATCCTACACCGGGGCTTAGTTGGTTCCTCATGTAAAAGATGAAAATTAATTACTACACTCCTGTAGGCCCATTAGGATGCAGCTAGGATGCCAGAATCTGCTACAGCGCACATGATAATGTGCCTTCCCACAGCAAGGAAAGGGACCTTGCATTGTTACTGGCTCCTGCCTCAAAAACAACCTGAGACAAAGCGGCGGGAAATCTTCAGATTGCGTGACAAGGTTCTTGGATCACCTCAAAGAAAGCTTCCCTTTTGTAACCAGGGCCTTTTGAGCTTCCTTTGCACTCCTGCCTTTCACAAAGGGAAGCAAAAGAATGCTTATGTGCGGGGCATACTAAATGCACTTTTCTATTTGGAACAGTACAGTCTGAACTTCTGAACGTCCATGCCAAGGAAGTAGGTTTGGCCAACAAAGCAGGTGGTCTGAAGGCTAAAGAGGAGCCATTCAGAGACTTCCTCCTAAAGAATATTCTCAGATTTGCTTCTCTGCGTGAAGCACATCCGAGATCAGATCAGATCTTCACCCTTTCTCCTGCTCATGTAGCAGACATTGTGCTGCCTCCCCCAGACAAACAGCAGGCAAACAATAGCTCCATCACCTTCTGATCAAATGAGATCTTTTTTCTTCCCCTTCTAAAGCTGTGGGAGACCTGGAAAATTCTCAAGAATAATTTGTACTCCAGCCACTAATGCTGGCAAATCCGGCTTCTTTCAGAAAAAAATAATCCACTTTGGAAAAGTGTCAGCATCAGGGTTCCTTTCCTCTCTGGAAAAAAAAGCTGCTTTCAGCAGCACATAAAGATTCTTCTCTGAGGCCTGGAACTGAGAGAAAAAACAACTCAAGAGTCCTTTGAGTTCTATCCCATTATGAGAGTTCATATTGGGGGAGGAGACATCTGGTCACAGTTCAACACCTGTTGTTTGGGTTTCCCAGCATCAGTGTGGGGTTCCATCAGGAGCCAAGACGGGAGACAAAGCAACAATGATAGAAGTGTTACATCCACTGGCATTCAGAAATTTGCTGGGGGGTGGAGGGAGCGAGAGAGACAGACAGAACCGGGGTGGCTCAGGAGGACTGGTAATGGTAGAGTCAGAGGCCTTCACTTCTTGATCACCACCATTAAGTCTAAGTGAATAATGACCCAAAATTGTTCTCTCCCCACTTGGGCACACTTCACAGTGATGGGCTTAATTTAGCCCTACATATTTAAGCAATCAGCCATCTCATCAGTAATATTTTTACTGTAATGGGAGTGTATGTGTGTACATGTGCACTCGCCTTCTCAAGAATATTTAAGGGTCAGGGTCCAGAGAAAAATTCATATCCTTCTCCTTTATTTTCCCCAAATAAAGACTTTCTAAATCAGGGGTTCTCAAGCTGCGGGTTGGGACCTCTCAGGGAGTCACAAGGTTATTACATGGGGGGGTCACGATCTGTCAGTCTCCACCCCAAACCCCGCTTTGTCTCCAGCATTTATAATGGTGTTAAATATGTAAAAAGGTGTTTTTAATTTATAAGGGGGGTCGCACACAAAGGCTTGCTATGTGAAAGGGGTCACCAATACAAAAGTTTGATAACCACTGTCTAAATCCTCATCAAAACAGCCCAGAGTTAAAATGAAGGCCCCTGAGGCTCAAGTGCAGCTGTGTACCTTTATGCACCATTTGAAGTGAATTTTGTCCTCATTTGTCTTATTCTTACTTAATATTGTGACTTTCCACCCAGCAAACTATGACACAGGGAAAAGAAAAATCAGTTTGCCTCATTCAGCTTATAACCCATTGCAATGTCTGTTGTCTTTACACATTAAAAGAAGCCATTTAAGAGCTTCTGGGCACCATCTGGTGAGTGGATTGCGGTACTGCAGTGTATTTTACACCACAGAAAAGGGTGCGTCTCTCTCCCTTTAATCTCTCTGGTCCACATATATTCACATATGCACAGGTCCCAAGTACTCTGCAGCAAAATGGGCCTCTACTCCGTAGTGAAGAACCCTTCTGACTCTGACGTTCTGGTGTTGCAGATGGGAAATGCTATGGTAGCTTCATTTCCATTTAAACATGGAGAGTTTTTACTGCATTAAATATGAAAAGGAATAATACACTCAGGACAAACACTCCTATGTTATTTATCTTGCTACTGAATTTGATTTGACGTTGACACCCCCATTGTCAGGCTTAATGTGCTCCAGATTTTTTTATTCACAATGCTGATCTGCATTGCAGAACTTGCCTGGGCACAGCTGCATCAGAGACAGTTGGCTGGTTGTAGGGTGACCAGATGTCCCGATTTTATAGGGACAGTCCCAATTTTGGGGTCTTTTTCTTATATAGACTCCTAGTACTCCCCACCTCCTGTCCCAATTTTTCACACTTGCTGTCTGGTCACCCTAGCTGATTGGTACCTGGGCAGGCATGGAAGGTAATTTAGAACTGTAGGATGAGCACTTTAGCTGAATATTTCTGCTAAGGTGATCAGCAGTGAAACCGCTCTAAATGTTGCCATTTTTGCCTATCTGAGGGTTTTGTACTGACACCCACCACTGCAGAATGTGTAATCTTTAAGCTTCAGAGTCAACAATTTATTGAGATGAATGGGGCACATCATGCCTCTCAAACTGTAGTGTCAAGATGTCTTCAGATTTAGGAGGACAACATTGGATCTGCTTTGGTTGTGCTTATTCCCTCCTCTGTTTGCTGTCTCTGAACAGTCAGGTTCTCTAGCGGTCACTTATACAGCCTCTGTTATTTTACAGTCTCTGAGCACCTCCCAAGTATTTAAAAGCAAGAAATAGCAATAACTCACACATATGTTTGTTCACACCATGTGTAAAGTTTGTACACTGAAACCTGATTACCTGGAGTGTTTGCACCTGAAACCTGATTACAGCTGGGAAATCTCCATGTGACTTGCATGACCAATCACAACTACATAACAAAGCTCATATTTCCACCATTTAAGTGTCAAACAGCAAGGCAATTTGCAAAAAATGTCAAATAATGAGTAATCTGAGATCGGCTTCCAGTCATTCCGCCACCAGAAAAAGAAGGGAAAGTCTATTAAACAAGTAAATGATTCTATAAGTGATTATTTGCTCAACTCTAATGGGAAATCACAGACTGCAAACTGAAGTGATGGACCAAAAAATGCAGCTTTAGAATTTTTTTTGTAATTTTTATTTTGTTGCCAACTACAAAAAAGTCTTTGTTTTCATATAGCAATCCACTCTTAATATTTTTCAGACAGTGATTATGGAACTGATTCTGCTTGGGCCATCAGTAAGATTTGACCCTGGAACCTTTTGATCTAAAAGCAAGAGATTCTGTCCCTTAAACTAAAAGACTAACTCCTCCAGCGAGAAGCAGAAGCAGACTCATAAACTTCATATTTGGACCACCACTAGAGGGAGACAAAGGACCACACTCTCCTAGTGTAGGCTGCAATTGCTTTTGAGGACAATGCTTTTTGTCCTCTGACCAATGGAAATTGTTCTGGTTTTAAGTAACTATAGGGTCTTTTCACTCCAGAATGCAAACTCTAAAGCATCATGCTTGAGGTGTGTACAGCACCCCAGCTGCCTGTGCATTTTAAATGTTCAATCATAGAATAAAATTAAGGCCATATGGGAAAAAATGATGTGTCCCACATACAGAGGGTCGGCTCTCCTAGATGAAAAGAAACGTTCAGATGTGAGCAGTGAATTTCAGCTGAGAACACCTTAGAATGGCAGTTTCTGCCAGTTCAGCCACAAAGGCCCCACTTTTTTGGCTGATTTAGCAAAACTATTTCCCACACTGATGATCTTCGTTCAAGGCTAAGCCATGTAAATGTGCAGAACATGGATAAGCAGCCATTCACGGTGCTGGAAAGAGGAATGTGTTCACTAGCAAAGTGCACTCCAGTGTTTAGGTACAGCACCGGGCAGACAGGTCACATTTGTTGCTCTCCTTTGTAACCCCTCAGTCGATTGACACCCTTCTGCTAGCGAAGTGCCCAGAATGAATGCAATATTCCAGATGTGAACACAAGGGCCGTAATGCATCTTGATGCGATGCCTTATCATATGGTATGGGCTGGCCGGTGGATTGCATGCATGCCTTGACCAGCCAAATTTTAGTCCAAGGAACCCATCCTAGTCCCTCCTGCCACTTGAGCCACAATGGCTACATTTTATTTTTAGCACGGTGGCTTGATCAAAGCTAGCACGGGTATGTCTCCTCAAGCTGGGAATTATGCCCCCAGCTCAAAGTGTAGCCATACCCTGTGCTGGCAGAAGGAGGAAGGACTTGATGGACCCAATGGTTCTTTCCTATCTCTACTCTTATGGAAAGTGTGATGGGATCTTTAGTATCAACACAGAGCAGAACGGTCGCTGGTTTTTAAAATGTAGTCAGAAAAAACCCACGATGCAAACTGTGAGAAACTCAGCTTATCGGCCTCAGAGGAATGGAGGCCTGAATGGACTCTGCTCAAGTTAGAACTTGCTGATCTAGACAGTTTAGGTATTTAAAGCCTGATACTTACACCATGAATTTTTATTTTTATCTACTGAAAGTCTATGGCCTGTGTTACGCAGGCGTCAGACTAGATTATCACAATGGTCCCTTCTGGCCTAGGAAGCTATGAATAAGAGAACACATGATAAATGTGTACAAAATAATGACTAGAACAGAGAAGGTACATGAGGGGCTACTATTCATCCTCTTTCATAATGCAAGGGCAAGGAGATAGGCAATGAAAATGAAAGGCAGCAGATTTAAAACTGAGAAAAGGAAATACATTTTTATACCATTAGCCTTTGGAACTCCCTAGCAGAAGAGAACATTGAGGCCAAGAGCTCAGCAGGACGCAAACAAAATTTTTTTCCATTATTTTATATACTCTGGAACAAGACCTGAAATAGCCCCACCCTGGTCTGAAATAGCCCCAGTCTTTAGACCGTCAGAGTAAGTTACAAGACACTGCATTTCTGCTGTGGGAAGTGGTTAGATCTGTGGGAGGAGAGATTTGTGCTTTGTTGGGGCCTGAGTTTTGCTGGCTGTGGGGAGAAGCTGCTATTTAATATAATTGTTCTTGTAAATCTTCATGCTTCCTCAAGTGCCTCTGTAGTGTTTGGTTAGGCACCCCTTTTATTTCTGTCTATATCCAAAGAAATAACATGGATAACTAGAACATCCAGAGTTACAATAGTTAACGATTAAAAAACTACATCAGGAGTTTGGAAGGCTTATAAACACTCATGCTTCAGGGCCTAAGCCCACCTGTCACTGATGAGGGCAAGCAGGTAGTTATCCCTCTGAGCGCTGCATATTATTACATAACCGTTCCCGGCAGGATTTCTTACACCCTCCTCTGAACCATCTGGTACTGGCCATTCTCAGAGGCAGGATGCTGAAGTAACTGGACCACTGGTTTGGTATAGCATGGCAATTCCTATGACCCGATTAAGTCACCCCCTCCACTATCCCCTCCACTATATCCCCAGTGCCACCCTGCCCAGTTGTAGGGTATCTCACTGAGGGCACTTACTCATGCAGTCCCCTCCATACCAGCCTGCTCTGCACTCCGCACAGTAGATCCCTTTGATGTAGAAGTCGTCTAGCGTTCCACCCCAGGAGCCGTTGCGGCAGGACTTGCAGTTCTCAAAAATGGTGCAGCCTGAAAGCAGAGTCAGTTTGTTGAATGACATCTAGACAGCTGGTGTGGGAGGGAGAGGATGGGGGGAGGAAAGCGGGGGAGGAATCTGTTTGTTTGCGTTTCACAATCCAAATGACCTTGTGATCTTCGTGGTGCTGACTATTGTGGATCTCATCCGTCCCCCACTTTGGCAAGTTCAAGCTCTCGAATCTGGATCTGATCTTGGTAGCTGCCCTGTATGTCTACATCCCATCCCCCCTGCTCTGAACACCCTTCAGGGAAGTGTGAGTTTGGATGTCAATGCAGCGTGGCTCCATCCCTGGTTGTAAGTAAATCTAATTTGTTCTCAGCTGATTCTCCCTCTTTCTACTTTTAACTTTGCTTTCCCATTGCTTTCTGAAGAGTCGGAACTCCCCAGCCTCTTTCCCCTCTCATTTAATAATGCAATGTACAAACCAGATCCGGAGGCTGAGGAAATCAAATCCCCAGCCAGAAATGACCTGTGTGAAACTAGTTATGACTTTACCTTGTGGAGAGCTTCCAGGCTTGCACAGAGAACCCTGGAAACTCTCAGCCCATAGTGGGACCAGCAGTGGTGCTACATGAGGCCATATGCTGAACGCATTAGCTCACACTGGTGCAGGAGCCGCTTGCACTGGCACAGATGGATCCCTGAGGAGACTAAAAGCAATCCATGAAGTAAGGCAGCCAAAATGGGCTGTGTGCCCCATCTGGCTCTGTGCACAACGACCGGCTGCACATGCTGGCACTTCACCACAAACCCTGTGTGAGAGCACAAGAGGTACAAGGGACAATGTTACAAACCAACACACCCGGGTGGATTAAACAGGAGTCACACTCATTTTCCTCATTCCTGCAGCAGGGAATGGTGTAGCCCACTTTTTCTTTCCCGCCGGGGCAGACACACTGGATCTGGTCATATTCACAGCACTCCCGGCACATGATATTCCATTCAGCTCCAGGGCAGTTTTCATTGATCACCATGTATTCTGAAAACAGAAAGTAAGGTAGGGGAGAAATAATGCATAAAATGCAGAGAATTACCCAGTTCACTGATTGTTATTCAGTTAATAGTCAGATCATACATGGCATGAGGTTGTCCCAGGCCTGCAACATGGCAAATTCCAAACCACATTATAACATATCTGATCCTGCCAAAATATAAATTGAGTTTGGGTGGCTAAAACACAAAGAGGCAGATCTGCATTGCCAGCCAAAGAGGCACCGAGCCCAGAATTAAGGAAATATGTTCCTTCCTTTCTCTGTTAGACTTCCTTGCTTCTGCATTCAGAGGGGAAAAACCCCAATTTGAAGGGACATTTTCACTTTAAAGCTCTTTTTAAAAATCCCAGGCCTTGTTCACTACCTCATCTCCAATTTAGATTATTTATTCCAAAAGAATTTAAAATATCTGCTGGACTCTTTAATTTTCCTGCCATTTTGTGTATTATTTTGCTATTCATGCAGCTTGGAGAATGGGGAGTCCAAATGGAGAGGTCAATTTCACTTCTGGCTTCTAGTCGAGTTTATTTCCTAGTTTCACTTCACTAGCACAGTGCTGCTTTCATTGCAGGAGAAAACAGGTTTTTCCATTGATTTTTGTTTGTTTGAAATTTCATTTCATGATAACATTTCTAATTAGATAAGGGTTTTTAAATCATTTTTAATTACCTCTCCCTGCTACATTTTGAGATTTAATCTATCCTGACAGTGCCCTTCTAAGAAACCACAGCTTGAAATACCTTGGATAGTGACTGCAGACTAATGCAGTAACTCTACAGATCCCATCTCCCTTCCTCCACCATACTGTCTAAACTCTACAAATTGGAATCTAATGAGCTCATGATGCTGTCAGTGTGTCTCTTAACCAGTTGACAGACCTGATGGCTGTTTTCGTGGAGCCTGATAATAAGAAGTGAGAGAGCAGACTGGAGAGATGAGATGTGAAAGAAACATAATGAGACCCTCTTTTTTCCTTTTTGGCCACAGAATATTCTTTCCCTTTTGTTCTGAGTGATAGAATTGCTTTGTTATTGCAACAAACCAGACATTGCTATTAAGGAGCGGAACTCCCATCCATGCTACCTGGCTTCCTTTTCACACAGTTCCTTTTTGATTCAGTGTGTCTCATAATTTAATTATGAGGTCTGAGTTAACTCTCTGTAGGATTCAGTGGTAGTTCTGCCTCACTCAATTCTCCATGGCCTGATGAAGCCTGAGTCTCAGAAGCTTGCCTTTCTTCTTAATAATAGTTAGTTAGCCCAGCAAAAAGGGACCACCTACAGCTTCTTGATTTTTGTATTTAGCTGGAGAGCTAAATCGCTGTAGGCAAAATTCATCCCTGGTGTAATTCCATAGCCTATTCCTTGCTCTGGACTCACAAACTCCTGGAAACTGCATCACAGTTTGGACTCCATAGTTAGTTGAAAGTCAGTTTGCATTCTAAGCCTGATTGTTGCCTACCTTCTTTCCATCTACAACAAAAAAGCAACTCCTGACATTTGGTGAGGTGGTGGTTTGTTTGGTAATTTTCCAGTCCAATAATATATGCTTGCATTAAGATTATAATAATACTTAATTCTTGTATAACACTTTTCATCCATAAGTCTCAAAGGGCTTTACAAAGATACGTATCATTACCCCCATTTTACAAATGGGCAACTGAGGAGGTGACGGGTCTTTTCCCGTGGTCCCAGAGCAAAAACAGTAGCCAAGAATTAAACTCAAGTCTCCTAACTCCCAGATGAGCAGACAAACAACTGGACCACATTGGGTCCACTAAACACATAACTATACCTCTTTCTTCTACAGAGATATAGATATATGATGTATAGATTGTCTGTGAACTGTATTTTATGCAGATTCCTAAGCAAATTGATTACAAAGGTATAATTATCTGATTTTGCCTGTCCCTGTTCACCACTATTCACCCTAAGCCAAGACCTTCCTCCTAATTAAAACTGCTCAACTTTTGACATTCCAATTCAACACATCTCACCATCCACCATTAAAAAATAACAATGCAATTAGCTGTCCTAGAAAGCAGCTCATTCCTAGTGAAAGCTGAACCCCTGAACAAATACCCTGAAATTTGGAAGTTTTAACAAATTTTATGTAAATCTCTTCGGTTTCCAAAATCAAGCTGGAAATCTCATTTCCTTAAAGATTTCTAGTACATAGCGTTAAATGGGATCTATATCAGTTTAGATTGTGCTGATAAATTTACCAATGCAACTGATATAAGCCAGGTTTAAATCAATCTGAGTATCCACATACAAAATTGTTAGTGTTTTTAACTAAACTGAGATCAAATCACAGCTTTAGTTACATTGGTACAACTAGACCAGACCCACAGGCCAGATTCTTCTCTTTTTACTCATGTTGAAATCAACGGATCTATTTGCAGAGTAAAGCAGCATAGGTAAGGGTTAGCAGGCTCTAGCCCTTAAAGAATTGTAAACATCAGATTTCCTTTTCCCTGTGTCTGCTGCTTGCTCACTTCTTGCACTTAGCTGAGACACTGAAATGGGCTTTCCGTTGATTTACAACCAATTTAATTCACATTCGGGTTCTCATGCACTAACACCGGGCTGCAAAGTTTGGGGAGTACACATGGCAGGGGAATTCGTGTGTCTGGCATTTTCAACCATTTCCTCCGGATTTAAAAAAAATTAATGGAATCTCTTGTTCTTAGGTTTTGTATACTTTTTTTTTTTTAATCTACATAAAGACTTGACAGTGTGTCTTTAATAACTCTGGAATCCAGCTTGCTTTACACAGATGTCTCCTCACCCTGTGTAATAAAAGGCGAAAGGGATATTTTGCTTGGACACTTTAAAGTGGACATAAAAAGAGCGGCTAACATTTATTAAAGACCATTTTTGTCTTGATGAAGGCTAGATTGAGCCTTTAGCAGAGCACATAGATACTCTGCCCCAGCAGGAGCTCCAGGAAGGAACTGTGACTCAGAGAGGCATAATTGCTCCCCTGCTGCTATCCTCTTGCTTTTGGGGGCAGTATGTCACTCCATCCCTTTTTGGGACTCAGTTTACTCCCCCACTCACCCTTCCCATTACTTTCATAATTGAGGGGAGAGGAAGGAAGAGGGGAGGTGGGATTGATTGGTGGAGCTAAATGCAATAAATTAGAAGCTGGACCATTCTGAATCATGGCTAAAATATTTGTGGGGCAGTTAGTGGCTTGACTTTGCTAATAGAAGCACCCTTCAAAGGAGCAAGTCTGACTTGTAGCCAGCAGCTGTATTTCCGGAGAGTGTGAAACATGTCCAGGCAGAGACTTGAAGTGACTCAAAAAGAGGCTGAGTTGCAAAACTCCATGCAAAATATTTATCTGAAACATGAAAACAAGAACAAGCAAACAAACAATGGGCTAATTTATAAGGTTTTCATGATGGAAGAAAAGGCCATTAGATCCAGGCACAAACTGCACATAAGAAACCAGCTCCAGGTCATGGAAACTGTGATCAAGAAAGAGCAATGTTATTAAAGAGTGCAAATGGCAGGGGGAAAGGTGTCAGAGAGTGGGTGGGAGTAACTGGTTGACTTAGGAGCATGTCAGTGTAGTGTGGAACTTTTCACCTCTCAGTCACTGGTTCGAGTCCAGTCCTGTTTGGCGGTAATGAGCTGGGATCTGATTTTTAAGAGATCTTCAACCTAGCCTTTGCTATTGTGGGTACGTTTCCAGGTCTATCTACCTGGTCTGCAGGTTCAGTAAGGTACTTAGATGTGTGCATCCTTTTTATTTGCACTCGCGATTATTAGTAAGCACATAAATGCACCTGTAACGTTGGGGGGCGTTATGGTTCATAAGGCCATTACCATCTGATGGTTGTTCAGTACCCAGCAGAAATGAAGGGATCCAGCCTGGCATCCCCAGCTCACTATGTACTAATGACCCCTTTGTGAACTGTCTCATCAGAGAGCCCAAAGAATCACTCGAGGGTCTCACCCCTCGGGTGGTTAACCCAAGCCTCCGCAGGATCCACACAGCTATTTTCAGCACACTAACACGAGCCCCACTAATACAAGTCTGTGCACCAGAGCTGGAGGGCTCACTCCACCTGCACTGTAGACGTGCCTATCAAGGCTATTGCAGAATGGGGTTCAGTTTAGTTTGTCCTGGGAGCTGAATTGCTGAATAGGAGAGTCTGGTCCTGTGGAAAATGCAGGCCTTTGTTCTTAACCTCTTTTTGCCTCTGTAAAAATGATACTCATATTCCCACTTATATACCATATATCACACAGGGCTGGCCCAGGGATGAATCTGGGCCTTTGCACTGTAGCAGCTCCATGGCTAATCTTCAGGGCTGTCAACCTTTCATTAGTACCCAATGCACTCTGCAAATGAATCCACAGCAAGACAAGTCCTGAGGAATGCTCCCTGGCTCTCAGCCTCCGACATCATTTCTCTTTCCTTCCTGCCTAGGATACTTTTCTTCCTTGTTTCAAATAGACTTATTTCATCTTCACCTTTCCAAAAAGGCAGCTGCCCCCTCCCACCGAGCGACCTGCTTGTGCTGCCCAGCATGGAGTGTGGCAGAGGAACTGAAACAGTTTATTAATCACATCGCCTTGACAGAAGAGTGTCTGTTTTTCCCATCACTGGGATGGTCGGGGCATACGTATGACTCACCCATCCGCCTCCTTGCCAAACCTCAAATGCAATTCTATCCCAAACTGCAGGACCTCAGAGAACGAGGTGATAAAGTCCCACAAGAAATTATTTTATTACTACTCGGGAAGGTTCACATCTGAGGGGTTGACAGAACTATTGTTTGCAATTCAATGAAAACACAAGCATCCAAAGTTTAGCTTTCACTGCACCCTTCTGAAGAGCTGGAAACCTCTCCAGAAAGGGGTGCAGTCTCTCTTTGCACACTCTGCACCCCCCCTCCCCAAAATAGTTTCATGGTATTTCTTTAAATTTAAAAAAAAATAAGCTTAAAAGCTTAAAAGGGTTTGCACAGACA